AGGCCTGTCACCTAATCCCTCTAAGAAAGCTACTATCCGCTTTCCAGACTGCTCAGCTCCTGGTTCGGCACGTTTTTCGCCTGCATGGTATCCAGCAGGACGTTCTGTCTGACCGTGGACCTCAGTTCGTTTCTTGGGTTTGGAGAGAGTTTGCCACCTCTCTCTGTGCCAGGTATACTCTCCCCTCCGGCTACTACCCTCAGACCAACGGTCAGACAGAACGAATGAAACAGGAGCTGGAGACTGCCCTACGTTGCCTCGCTTCCTCTAATCCTTGTGATTGGAATAAGTTCCTCCCGTGGGTTGAATATGCCCATAATTCCCATGTTTCCACCGCGACCGGAGTATCCCCCTTCGAGGCCTCTCTAGGCTACCAGCCACCGTTGTTTCCTGAGGATGTTAAACAGATCGCCGTCCCCTCTGTTGACCAACAAATACACCGTTTTAGGCATTTCTGGACTCAAACCACTCAAGCACTTCAAAGAACTGCTGAAAGGAACCGCGTCACAGCGTCACAAGGAGAGAGAATCCAGTAACCAGAACAAGGTCCTCACAAGGAGGATCCCCGGCGACACGAGAAAATACCTGAGAGAACGTAGACAACGAGAGTCAATTATTAGAAGTTTGTATACAGGAAAAGAACACAGACAGTATTTATGTGGAAGCTCAGAGTACCATAACTGGCAAACACTCAGGCAAAGAATTACTGGCAGTCTCCTTCCTCTTAAGCTCCAGGATGATTAGTCGATGAGTAACAGGTGCACAGACAGAACCAATAGGTGCGCCCCTCCAGATGCAGCCTCTAGTTGCCATCTATGAAGGTGAAACCCCAGTTCTTAACAGTGTCCATCTCCCTGCCAGCTCCCATATCAGCTTTTCTGATTGACTCTTGGGGTACATCCAGCAGCAAAAGTTCAACTTTTACAACTCCAGAATGTGCTAATTGTGAAGTGAATCACACTCTTCAGTGGCTCAGAATGTCACAAGGCGTTGCTTCAGGGGGCAACATAGGATGCCCCCTGGAGGACAGGGTTTCCTATGTTACATATAATGTGGAAGATGTATTTTGTAAAATATATCCTAAAGGGGGGACTTATAGGTACATATGGTGACATTCAACTGGTCCCCATATGGTAATTTGGGGTCTTCTGTTTTTTCAAATAAGGGATGACATCAGTGGCAGCTGGCCAATAGTGAGCACTATGGAGCCGCCCCACCCACCCAATGACCCTGAACAAAACATAAAAAAATATAAATGTGTATTTTTTATAATTTAATTTCAAATTAACATTTCAAATATTTCGAAACATAGGCTATTGATTATTTATTATTTAGTATTTTTTAGATGTGCATGATACATATGTAAACTTTAATGACTAGTAAAGTGTCATTTCATTTTAAGTCCGATTGTTTACGTATTTCCGCCCTAGGGCACCGAAATCTTTGCCCATTGACTCTTGTTAAAAGTTGTGCATACGCAGTATCTCCTCTGCAATATAAAGGTATAGGAGAGGCACAGCTCTGGTGCGCCCCGAGCTGATAGGAAGTGAGAGATAGAGAGAGAGAGAAGAGAGAGATAAATGGCACAAGAAATGTCCTTTTCTGGTATCTGGCTTAGCAGGCTAACAGCATATAGCGAGGCTCACATTTTATTCTGCTTTCCCTGCCTCCTTTTTCAAATTTCAGAAATTTGATGGATGGATGCATTGATAGAGACAGGTGCTCTTAAACAAACACATTCTCAGAAAGTTTTTATATATTAAAAAAATATCAAGCTGATTAATAGCTTCTCCAATATTAAACTGATACATTTTATTTTTAGGTTTGTGACAAAATGTTGGACCATGCAAAACACAAACTTATCTTCACAAAGCCTCAGAAGGGCAAGATTTATGTACAAAAGTAAACCTGTATATGAAATAATGTTTTGTTTTTATATAGTGTTTTTATAATGTTTTTGTTGTTGGCAGTCATATAAACATACTGGTGTGATATCTTAGTATATCTTTGATTGGTTTTTGAATTCATAGCCCCCCCCCGGAGACAACTCCACCAGCTGCCACTGAATGACATTACACATTTATTTTGAGTCCAGATCTCCTGCAATCCAAAACTGGGTACTAAACTTGTCTGGCTTGGATGTAATGTACTGCAAAAAGGGACCACTGCGATGATCGTTGATGGCTCAGACAATTGGACCCAGAATTAAGGCAGACAGAACAGGTTGGTTCAAAGGAGAGTCTCTTAATTGGAAAGCTCTGGATTTTAAGGTGTCAGTTGGGACCGGCTTGCTGGATTTTCTGCAGAAACAGACAGGTTAGTGATCACTAGGCTCAGATGGGGGACTATAACGAGCATGTGAATCACTAACCTATTTTAAAGTTCAGTTGGTGTCCAGAGGAAGGAGTGAGAGTCAGTCGGATGACTGCTCCACAATATGCGGCGGGAGCCGCCAGGGGAGTTCCAGGAGCTGAGCAGAGCAGTTAGCAGATGCTGAAGGGCAGGAGGGTCCAGAGGCAGAATCGAGACCAGGTAACAAAGCCGAGGTCCAGACCAGAATATAGGAGAGATGCTGAGGTACCAAGCTGATAATCCAAGCTGGAGTCTGAAGACAGGTCCAAGGTAGTTTGCAGGCAGAATCCAGGTAACAATCTAAAAACAGATCAGGCAACAGAGCAGAACAGGGGCAACCAAAACTCAGAAGAGCAGGGACAGAAACTAGTCAGGATGAGGAAATCAGAAACTTGCAGACTGCTAGAAAACTTGCTCACTTGGCTCAAATAATCTGGCACTGGTGGCTGGAAAACAGGAAGCATGAATAGGAGCTGGGAGAGGTGGATCAGATGAGCGGTAACAAGCAACTGGACAGAGTCAGACAGGTGAATGGAATGAGCACTTAAGCCAGCCACCAGCACCAAGACCATGACACTGGATCCTGTTTGTGTTCGATTAAGCCAGAAACCTTGCTCACTAGTGTTGGGGATGACTTTTACCCGGAATTGACTAAGGTTCCTGAGGAGTACAACAACCCCTAATAAGGGTAAGGCCACCGCTCTTCCCCGGCAGGGACCTTATGATTGTGGCATCAACTAAGTGCTACGAACTTCACCCCCTAGGTACAGGATATATTCTTTGTCCGCCCCTGAGTATCTAGCTATAGAAAAGTACATCTTTGATTCACTTAAGGCAGGCATTATTCATCTCTCATCATCTCCTGCCGGTGTGGGTTTCTTTTTTGTATGAAAAAAGGACGCTTCCCTTAGACCAGGCATAGACTACAGGGATCTAAATGAGATCACAGTCAAGAATCGTTACCCTCCCCATCCCTCTGATAAATTCAGCTTTCGATCAGATTCAGGGTTCCAAGATTTTTTCTAAGCTAGACCTCCCCAATGTGCTTAGAGATATGGTGGGACATTTTGTTTTTGTTTGCCTGGATGATATCATTACTCTTGGGATTTGGAATCCCATAAGAAACATGCCAGATCTGTTCTGTTACAAAACCAGTTGTTTTTTAATTCAGAGAAATGTGAATTCCATGTACACAACATGTCATTTTTGGGTTTTGTGGTTTCTCCTAAACAGATCTCCATGGATACTATGAAGATGCGTGCAGTTACTGACTGGCCCGTACTAGAGACTGACATTTTTTCGGGAATCCCACGGGTCACGGGATTCCCGTGGGATTCCCGTGGGATGGGAGTCAGTATTAGTAACGATCACGGGATAGGGACGGTACAGGATTAAACATTAACGGGAGCAGACAGGAGCGGGAGCAAACCAATAGTAACTTCCGCTCTGAGTTTTTCACCCGCGCTCAAAAACAACAAGAATGGGAGTGGTGCAGGAGCGGGAGTCATTCTGAATGGGAGCGGGATGGGAGTGGGAGTAATTTCACCAGGAGTGGGACGGGACAGGATTTAGATTTCTACTCTGGCCCGGGATCGGGACGGGACACCATTTTTTTCTGTGGGAGTGGGACAGGACAGGAGTGAAAATCCACTCCTGCGTCAGTCTCTAGCCCGTACCTAAAGTGGCTTATCTGTAGCTAAGAGAAAGTAGCTGGACAAGCTGATCAGGAAGGTCAGCTCTGTGATTGGATGCCCTCTGGACTCAGTGCAGGAGCTGGGAAACAAAAGGATCCTAACTAGATGAACATCTCTGTTGGATAACGTCTCCCACCCCATGCATGAAACTGTTGCAGAACTTGAGAGATCCTTCAGTGACAGTCTGCTGCACCCTAAATGCACCAGGGAGCATTATCACAAATCCTTCCTCCCAGCAGCTGTAAAACTTTATAACCATCTCTGTTCCCAACAACCTCAATAAGTCATTACATTCATGCTGATTTTGGACTGTTTCTATCTTAGTTAAATAAAATGCTGCTCTCATTTTCAAAGGTCCACATTTGTGTGACCATATTTTCCTAAATGTTTTTGCTGCTGTAAACACCAGAATTTTCCCATTATGGGACAATAAAGGGTTTTTCTATTCTATTGTCTACTTTTTTTAGTACCACTACCACTGTCACACCTTTATCCTTTAGTGTGGGAAGGTAGAGGTATTTTTATCCTCTCTTAGATCAGCAGAATGTTGATTATAGTATCTCTGCACACACAAACTCGTATCATGTTCTGTGATAGGCTGCACACCTCTGCGTAAACATGACATTTTATAAAATTTATTTTTCTTTAAATTACACTGCTCTGTAGTTTATGGATTAAAAGCTTACATATGTGCACATGAAAGTTAAAAATGTGTCTTGTAAAAGCTAATATTGTAGCCCCTTTACAGCTGAGTTATAATGTTTCACTAAACTGCTCCCAATTAGATTTTTGTTGGTGCATAAAATCTTATTTTCTAGGTTGGCAGAGGGTGAAAGGCGTACTTCAGCTAGCTATAAACTAGGTAAATGATTTAATGATAAGTTAAAGAAGATTATCTTTTCAAGTTGAGAAATTAAAAAAAAATGATGATAAATAATTGAGAAACTAATTACATACATTGATTAAGCTCTGTTTAAAAATTAGTATTTTACAGGTGGGAATTAAAACTTTTTACAGGAGAAAATCCAACATCGCTCAATATACAGTTTACAGGAACCTGAAGCAAAGTACACATAAGAATACTATAATGTTATTTATAAGGTTTACACATCAGTATAAACATTATTAACCTTATACATGTTTCCAAAACTATTTTACAAACATTTACAAAACCATGTGCTTTGTTACCGTATTACTTACATAGTGTTAGTTGATATATATTAGCTAAAGTTATAGAAAAACAGGTTGGTTAAGTTTTGTGACAGAAAATAAATCTAATTTTCTTTAGAAAATGGACAGTCAGTTTTGTTGAACATAAAAAGTTCGAGTAAAGGAGCAAAAAGGTTTCAAGACAAGGAAGTATTTTCCCATTTTGACTTTAAACCGTCTCAATTCCTAATGTTTACACTTTGATCTCCTCCTCCTCCTCAGATAAAGAAAAAGATGTTTTTTTGTTGATTCTCATTCCTTCTGTAAAGGATCCTCCACCATAATGCCGAGCGAGGACATTAGTCGCTCTCTGGAACCTCTCTGCCTCTATTACTGACTCCTTGTGAGACGAACAGGAGGAGGCATCAGGCGTCCTCACAGACCCTCTGTCTTCTTTAGGCGCTCTCATCTCAGAGTTATTTCTTCCATTCAATCTGGGGCTAAGAGACCCGCTGCACAGGGAAGGGTTGGGGGAGCACACTGTCGGTGTCTGAACAGGTGTCTCAGTCAAAGAGTTGTTGTCACCTTTGTCCTCTTCCTCTCCCTGGTCCTCCTCAGCTGTCTCCTGGCTATGATTGAATATCTGTACAGAGCTGGGGTTATCAATTAAAGCAAACACTTCAGTCATTAGAGATGGACCAAGGTCAACAGTGAAAGAGGCCAGGGAGTCAGAGCGGGTCAAGGTGCTGCAACCATTGTCTGCTGAAGATGGTTTCCATATGGTGCCATCTTGAAGCTGTCTGTCAATTCGAGAGAGTCGAGGCAGAGTGACGAATCCAGACTGCACACCTGGAAAGAGGAAATGGGGCAAATTGCAGTTTAGTTGATATTACTGTGTTTAAGTCAAGTAATATCTTTTTCATACAGTTATGCTCTCCTAATATATAATCTGTTAAATATTGCCATATGCATGTCATTTAATCATTACGTAAAATAGTTTTTAATGCCTAGATAAGATATTTAAAAATAACAGATCAGGTTTAAAGCTCATCCCAGCTAAGAAACAGCACAGGTTAAAACTATTAATACAATTCCCAGAGCCTCAGAGATTTGGCCTGTGTTCATAGATATCATCATGGACTAATGATTTCCATGCTGCATTTAACATAGTTGAGCACAATGTTGTTTCTGGAGGATTGAACATAATATTGGAAAGGTTAAAGAAAGAACCTCTAGGATGGTTTAAATCCCATTTTTTTTTCATATTTATGTTCAAGCTATTGGCCGATGTTTCTGTTCCACTAAAGCTAATTATTATGTAAAGTAAGGTCTCTTGATTAGAGACATAGAAAAAATGTGGTATTGATTTGACAGATAGGGTAGATTGAGGAGATAAAGTGGTTGATGTGACTAAAGGCTCATCAGATGGCAGCTGTTATAATTTTTGCTCAAATTGAAGACTTGAAAACTTTCAGCCCCTAATCTGCACATTGAAACAAACTGCTGCTTTTTTCAACTAATGTCTAGGCCATTTGAAATGCGTTTTTCGGCCAAAAGATGTTGCAACACCACGAAATGGGGCGGCACACACAAGAGAGAGGCAGCTTTCCAGGTTGGAAAGAAACAACAAATAAACAATATTTATCATAAGCCTATAATTGACTTTGAAACGCTTAAATAACATGAAAAAAGATAATTTGCCTATTCATAAGGTATCCAGACAAGATGGAGATCTCATAAATTTGGTTCCTGGCTTGCTCTCTCTCTTTCCCTCTTCCTCTTTTTATATCCACACTGCAAAAACGATCTAGAAATAACTTAAAATTTCTTAAATTAAGTGTATTCACCCTTAATTTGAGTAGGTAAATGAGATAGTTTGCCAATGGAATGAGTAATTTTATTCTTAAAATAAGATAATTAGATAATATGCACTTGAAATAAGACAATGCAATTGTGTTTTCTTATTTTAAGTGTAAAATGTCTCGTTACATTGGCAAAATGTCTCTTTTACCTCCTTAATTCAAGAACAAATGCACTTATTTGAAGAAAAAATGACTTATCTAGATTTAGATTTTTTGCAGTGCACTTCCATAGTTTAAAAGGGAAGTCCCCTCTTGTACATATTACCAAGCAATTCTTAATATTACTTTAATACTATATTGGTAATAAACTATTTTTTAAGAGTTATCAAACATTACTTATCACACAAATAATAATTACATGATGGTGTAACTGTAAATGTGCTGTCTTAAACCCATTATTTGAATGTAGCAGCAGGAGGTTCAGCTCTGTTAGGAGAGTTACATGCTTAAGTTTGTACAAGCTGGGTGGAAAACAATATCTGACCTTGTGATAATATTTAGATGTTAGCAGAGTTGATGTTTAGTGTAATTGAACTATGGTAAACTATGTCAATAGCTTACCATACTATGTTAACATTTAAAAAGGGGATATGTAAAGCATGATCTCAGAAATAAGAGGAAACTAGAAAGCAAATGTGACTTTGGTTCTATAATCCTATAGTATTATATGATGTAATATATGATAGGATGAAATATTGTTAAACTGGTACAGCAAATATTTTTAGACATTTGCTGTAATTTGCCAAAATCTTTTTCTTTTTTTTTAAGTTTTCTGTTTAGCTATGCAGCTGTTTCACCAAAAGGTGGCATTATAGACCAAGGCTTCAGAGGTTTTCTATAGCTTCTTTCAAGAAACAATTGCAGATGCAGATGAAGAACACCACAAATTGCCAGGGAAAGCGACATACATATAACTGCTTTTATGTAGTATATAGATATATACACAGTTTAATAAGGATAAAAATTAGTGTAAATGAAAACCATTAACCATTAAAAAAGTCCAACCATCCCCAAGTTCTCTGCCTCTGGAGGCCAAGTGAAAACCCCTCTGACTTGGCAAATTCCTTTTGGATTGGATAAGAAACAATGACAGGGGCAAGGGGATTTTCCATTTCTGACATACAGCTGTCTGACGCGTTCTGATTGGTGAGCAGATGCAACAAATGGTGGGTTTGGGCTCATTCTCTCGGTTGACACACAAACACAACAAATGACAGGAAATACCCGGTAAATTTTGTTCTGCTCAGCAGATGAAACGTGGGTGTTTGTGTTTGTAGGCATAATTGTGTAAAGGTGTTGCTAGGGTGATTCCAGATGATTCAGAAGAGGTTCAGGTGTTTGCTGGTTGCCTTGGAGGAACGTTAGGAAAAGATGTAAAAATAAAGAGAGGTTTTGTCTTTCTCTGTTTAGTTATCCTGACTTTTATAGTTCCGGCTGCACCAGGAACAAAAAGTAGTACAAAGATTGGTACAGACCGTACTGTAATGGTTCCATATATTACTGAGGTATGGTAAATTTGCTTTGTGTCTACCATTTTTTCTTAACTGCCTTTATAAGTGGCACAATATATAAATTATTTATGGTGCTCCATTTTAAATCAACAACCGACTGCTGAAGGAAACAGAGGTGGAACTAAGTCCCTTTTTTTGCAAGTCTTTAGTTAGTCTTAAATCTGTATCCTCAAATCCCTGGTCAAGTTTCAAGCAAAGGAAGTCAATTCAAGGTCAAGTTTTAAGTCAAGAGAGGTACATCTCCAGCCAAGTCCTAAGTCTGAAACTTCAAATTTCAGTAAACGTGAACGATTTACTATGTGTCCTTTTTTAAAGAACATTTGTTAATAAGGTAAAGTTAGCTGAAGTCAGCTAATTGATTAAACAAAAGTACCACCTGAAGTTCTTTCTCTAACTTCCAACATTTAGAAGTTATTCAGTCTCTGTCTATGACATTCCTTTTTTTGCATGTTTGACATTTTGCATTTTTTGCTCAGCGCTTTTAACCTCACATACCACAAAGAAATTATTCTTAGGAGCTTTTTATTTTATTTATTTTTTTGTATCTGATTCATTTGATGGGCAGTGCTGCAGCTGTAAAAAGAGAGACAATCGGCGTTTGTTAATATGTGATGAGAGCAATGCATTAATGTTGTGCACTCTTTAAATACTAGATGTTTTGAATTTTTTCCATTTCAGATTTAAGTCCAATTCATATCCTGAGTCTTCAGCGTAAAATTAATTTGAATTTGATTATATAGTGCCATGCATCACACATGTCATCTCAAGGCACTTTTAAAGAGACAGTAGCCTACAGTCAGATTGGTTAAAAGTGTCTAACAAGGAAAAACAGCTGATTGCATCAAGTCAGTAACTTGCAGGACACGCATCTCCCAGATAAGCTTGCTACGAAGATATTAGCTTGCATTTGTACTTGACTCTTCAGAAATCCCCCAGCATGCATGCAGTGACAGTGGAAAGGGGGGAAAAAATCCTTCTTAAAAGGAAGAAACCTCCAGCAGAACCATGCTCAGTGTTATCGGCCTTCTGCCGACTGGGGGGTTCAAGGAGAGAGAAGCAGATATACAAAAAGAAGTAGATGTGTAAAAGGTAACTGTTCACTAGGTCCACAGGTGGCCCAATTCAAGAAAGACAGAGCCAAGCAGACCAGCTCCGAGCCAGTTACCATGTCAAAAGATGAAAGAGAACACAATCCTTAGCAACCGTAAAAGAAACAGGATGACACTGAAAAACATAGGCCCAACTCCAACATCTATGAACAAAGGTGTTGATGGTGTTGATAGTAGCCCAACTAATATTTCTTACCAGGATGGTGTCACAGTCAAACAACAAAAGCTACTATGAAAAGAAAAAGTAGTGAAAAAAAATCTAATTATGAATAGAACTAACAAATATTGCAGAATGATAGAAATAAATATAGAATGAATTAGAAAGATGAAAAGTGAACCCAGTGTCTTCCAGTAGCCCAAGGCTATAGCAGCATAACTATAGAAAACAGCTCAGCATAACCTGACTATTTTGGATGAGTTATGAGAAATATAGAGCCAAAAAAAGGTAAAAGTCCAAGTTAGGTCACAAGTCCCTGAATATTTTAAGTAAAGTTTAAAGACATAGATTTATTGATTTGTGACTCAAGTCTCACCTCTGAAATTAACACATGACGCCCACATTCAGAAGGAAAGTCCTGCTGAAAAGCTGACACTGACCTAACCCTCATACCAAAACAATTCTGGTCTGCCCTGATCTGACAGCTTCATTCATAAGAGGGTCAGTCATGTTCTTTAAAATACCTGATTCATTTATGATGAAATAATCTGGCACTAAAGAACATGCTTCATCATCTAATGAAACTATTATGTTTGAGTTTGATCTCAACCATAACAGTATATCTGCTCACTTTTAATGGAGATAATCTCCCCCCCTAAGATCCTTAACACCAATCCCATGCTGGCTCTGATTATCTGTCTTATCTCACCATATGTGCAGAAGGAGTCATCTGCTGAGCTCATGGAGTTGGGGAACAGTGCCCTCTGTCTGCAACCATTGACAGAATCTATGTTGAGCTGAGGCAAAGAGATGGCATTTTTAATGATGGGTGAGATGTCCGGAGGAGGGGATGACAAATCCCGGGAACCTCCTCGAGGCTGAGGCCCAGAGGTCCTCCGTACATGGCGAAAAGTACGTGTGAAGAAGCCGGTTGACTTGGAGCTGCTCGCTGAGTCCGGACTTCCAGGCTCCCGGATGCCTCCATAGTTGCTCAGGAAGGAAGTGTCACCAAAAACGTCTCCTCCGCGGCCCACATGCATGGTGTGTCGGAAGTCCCCAAGCGGGGGGCTAATCATGTCCACTGAGAGATCACTCTTGAAGCGACGTTTCCCCTGAGATCCGGGCACAAGGCCTTTAATCCCTGGCAGTTTTCCCAGACTCATGGTGGAAGAAAAGTTGTTTAATTTCCTTTTAAAATGATTGATAATGTGTGGACTTTAATATCATGACAGTGACGTTTGAAATCCAACTTTGTTTTCACTGTAAAACCAGAGAGAAAAATGAAATTAGTCAAGGAAAGAAAGCATAAATGTGCAGCTGTTCAGTATAAAATCAGTTCTTCATACATCCAGCACTACCCACTGCTTCTCTTTATGATCGACGCCATGGGATGCCAGCACAGCCACTTATATCTGTTTATATCCTTTATTCTTTCCCACATCTTTCCCAAACAACCAAGCTCCCTTCTCTGCACAGCAGCAGCTTTCAGTCACCTCAAAATAACAAAGAGAAGAAATTACAAGGCCATATTGGGTTTCCTCTGGTTACCACAGTCCGTGCGGTTGGACAGTTCTGGTCTGACTGGGCACTGGGTATATTTGGTTCAGTGGATGGCTGCCCAGACATACACGATCTAACCGCATGTGAACATACACTGAAAGCTGCTGTGTGATGAAAGTAATAAGAAAAATACATGTTTATTTTTAATTGTAAATGTTTTAGACAAAGGGGAATTGCACTGACCTTAGCTGAAACTTACCACCTAAAGAGGATCCCTTCCAAAAGAAACCTTATACTGTAAAGCCAGAATTTGCTCAGCCTTTTACCCAAAAGCTATGAAAGTTATGTGTGGTTAAACTCCATCTTAAGGACACTACCAGCATATTTGCTTTAATTTAACCAACTCTAAGGAGGAAGTAAAACGGACTGGATGATTTTATGGGGGGACCTTATGTAGTGGAACACAATTTTGAGTTATTATTACCTTATTGTATTATCTTTCAAATTCTCTATGCATTGTTCTTCTTTCTTTAAGTAAATACAATATTCAAATTCAAATTCCCACCAAAAAACAAAAAAGTCATCCTCTTACTGTAAATGAGGCCTGATCACAAATTCCAAACAGACGATTAGTGTCTTTCCATCAGGCCGAGGTGAAAAAGCAGAGATCCACAGTCATGTGCTCCTCCTTCTACTAAAAGGTTCATCTCTTTGTGTGGCACCATAAAGTCCACAGGACATCCTGTCTCTTTTGTTCTTAGTCCACTGGTTCATCTGCAGCAAAGATCCAAGCTCTTTCCAAATTAAGACTGTCACAGCAGAGGTAAAAGAAGATGGATACGTTGTTTCTGCGTATAAATCCGTGAACTGTTTTGTCTGCGTTGTCCTGCAAGAATGATAAAGCTCTGCAAGGATTGTTCGTTGGACTGGATTAGCTCCTAATCCTCTCTGCGTCTCCCCTCCCTACCCCGACTACCTCACTCGGCGGCTGCCTTCTTCAATCCACTTAGTCCTTCAGTGTTTTCCAGGTGGTGGCGGGGGGTCTCTGTTTTCATTTAGTGCACATTAGGACGGCTAAAGGCCAGAGAGAGAAAAGGGGAGAGAGAAGTCAGTGGTTTATCAGACCAAAGCCGAGAAGCATTCAGGCAAACATGAAAACATTAGGAAACTTTTACTCTGACTGCTGCTATTTAGCTGTAGGTCAGACAGAAGCTGATTAACAAACTCAACAGAGTTCTTGTTGTTTAAGCAGTGGTGGAAAGTAACAAAGTACTTTCTAGATTACTGTACTTAAGTACTATTTTGAGTATCTTTACTTTACTGAAGTAATTTTTTTTAGGGTACTTATAACTTTTACTGCACTACATTTCAAAGTCAAATATTGTACTTTCTACTCCACTACATTTCTAGGAAGATGCTAGTTCCTTGTTCCTTTTTGGGTCAGCTTGGCTTTTTAATCCACTGTTAAAACTAAAACATATCAGCCCATACGACTGAATTCTGACAGCACTGTTTTAGACATTTGCATGGCATTCCACAAATGTAAGAAACTCAGGAAGATATAATTTGTAGTTTATACATATTATTAAGGCATTCGATTTCACTATGTTTAGTGGGACAAGTCTAAAAGCAAAATTGTAGTTTATTTTTGGTAATATATTCAATCTTAAACCTATATTCCTTTGTCAAAGTGTGAGGAGAATCAATATTTTTATGTTAATAATAATAACAGAATCAGAATCAGACATACTAAAATAATTCCAGAGGCAAATTACATTACTATTTATGTTTGTAATAATGTTAATAATTAATAATAGTTTAATAATCAATATATCACTCCTTATTTTTTTGTGTAATTTCTACGCTGAATTTCTTTACAAGAGGTGTAGAATATGTAGCAGGTGGTTTCTGAAATTTACAAGGTTTAAAATTACTCTGAAAATTAGACAGAAATATACTAATATCAGAAAATTAAATGTGTGCTTTTGAATATTTAAGTATTTCAAAAAGTGGGTACTTCAATACTTTAACTTGAGTAGACGTTTGACTGTGTAACTTTTACTTATAGTTGAGTAAGATTTGACTATGAGTATCAACATTTTCACTCAAGTACTGCTGTTGAGTACTTCGTCCACCACTGTGTTGAAGTAACTCTTTAGATGTTCTGTATCTTGTCAGCTTCCACAAAATTATATGTTTTACAGTTATGTTTTCAAGTAATCAGAAAGATGGTCAACATATAACAATTAATGCATGAATCAAAGTTATGAGGCAACACATTTAAACTTATAACTGTAGTGACCCACCATAATCTCTCCAGAGTGTCTATTTACATTTACATTTTTCTTGTTCTACAACCTGAAAGCAATGTTTTTTGTTATTTCTCGACAACCTTCTCTGCCTCTCAGCAGAAATGAATCCAAAGTGAGGAAACAGCTCTAAGCTCCTAACATGTGATCTCTACAGGATACAGCCAGAGGTGGATTAGCGTCTCAGGCTGCTTGTGTTTACAAGCCGGAGATACTGCCTGTTCAATCTTTAAACTCTGATATAACAACCACTATTTCCTGTAGCATGACTTAAGAGTTAATATCTTGTTCAATTGTTTAAGGGATACCCCTACCCAATTCTAAATATCAGCTAGTGACATTTTAAAAAGTATGGCATTGGTACAGGAGGAATTGCAAGCACTCCTCTTCCATTACATGTGGTCACCTTGTCTTGGTTCTACATTTGTTACACAGCAGCAAGCATTGTGCCAGAAAGGAAAACATTTTGATTACTCTTACAATTAACACTGTATAAAAACAATCCTCAAAATCAAAGATGTTTGAACATAAAGTCTTGGGGGGGAAATTGGTTTAAGAAGTTATTTACAGTAGAAAAAGTTTTCTACAAAAATGTCTGCAGTTAAGCACTGAGATAGAGGTGAAGAGAGCAAAACATTCAGGCCATAACAGGAAGGCTTAACATTTTGGAGCAAATGTTCTTTAACTTTTGCTTTCAAACTAACCTCTGTTTTTTAGCATACTGGATTTAAAACATTTTTGGGAAGTGTCAGTAAGGTAGATCTGTGTTCTATAAAAGAATCACAGTTATGAGATGCTTATTACGGTTTAAATTATCAATCCTCTGATCATTTTTTATTTCTCAAACTCATAATAAAACCCAGTTTTGATGGTGACATATTTCTCATTCACATTATGTAGAATCTGCTCTACTACTGGTGAAGATAATTAATGACCAAGGAGCCTCAAGAAATTGCGCAAGCTTTTTTTATTCTTCATGTTTTATATAAAAGTATTAAAAACAATCATACGACTTAAAAATTCAACAGGTCAAATCTTTGAAAACCCAAAAACAACAAATCTGTCACAAGATTCTCGCCACTGCAGCTTTAATCTTTAACTGGTAAAAGTGTGGCGGTGCAGAAAAAATTAAGAGAAAGAAATTAAGAAATTAAGAAAGAAATTCGACTGAACATGCCAAATACTTTAAAAAGGGCAGTCCCCAATCACCACCTCTACAGATTGTCTTTCCACCGTGAACTCAATAATATTTGGAACCATATGAAGAGTTCCCCTCAGCTAACTCCAAAGAATGGAAGTCTTAGAAACACTTAGTAGAAGAGTTAATCTTCAGATGAAAAGCTCTTGTCTAAAAGGGTTACTGAAAAGGTGACAGGTGAATTTTTCACCTGTCACCTTTTTCCACCATTTTTATTACTTAAAATTTTCTGTTACTTAAAGTTTTTAGGTTTTACAATTTAGCTGCTGTTGACTTTACACCAGAAGAGTTTGGAGGTTCGTAAATCATCATTGTTTCACCTCACAGCATACTGAATAGGTTTATTTCTGATCAGACCAAGCTGTGTGGCATGCATATCAGTATTATATCAGGTCAGAGCATGCAAGAAAGAGGTTTAAATAAACACGACCTTGCTAATAAATACTTAGAAGTCTATATCATAAATATAAAAAGTAATTCATTGGTGGAGGTTATTTGTTTTCCTGCTTCAAATACGTGCTTAAACTGTACTCACATGATGAAATCATCATAGAAACAATGGATGTTAGAGGAAGTTAATTGGTCATTTAAATAACTTCCTACTTTTGAATGACTGAGGTGTCCATTTTATACGTTGATTTGAGAAAAAAGGGAGCAAAAACCATGATGTTAACATTTAAGCTATTAGAGAATTAAAAAAAAAACATATTTGTACAAAAGAAGATAAGTTAGTAGCTACAGTAGGATGGATATTATCTGCAGTCTCCACCTATAGCAGATCAGCTGAGGTATGAGGCCCGGAAAGCATAGAAGCATAACATGTTCTTAGTTAAACTGGTTTGGAATGATGAGTTCAAGCTGATCTCGGGGATTGACACAACCTACTGCAGACACAAACCATAATGCAACATCATATGAATCCTTTCAAACTTGACATTGTTGGGCTGGGAAAAGATAAAAAAAACATGATCTAACAACAATATCTTTTACAGAATTGCATTCTCTCCTATAGGTGGGAACATTTTCACTTAAAATCGAAGTAAATTATGTCTGACTGGCTTGCAAGCTTTCACCTCTCTGAAGATTTGTTTACTCTCCAACAAGATCCCAGGAATATAAAGAAAGAAAGTTCTCTACCTCCAATTAAATCCATTTTAAGCTGCATTGTAATTCACATATTTTAACAACTTAATTGACAAGTTTACACTGGTAAATCTCCATTCCAAATTCCTTAACTCTAATTTTAGCTTTCTATGTAATTTTCTCCTTCCCTGGTCCTTTTGGAAGCAGTAAAACTTACCATAAACTGTAATACAAGCACGTAAATTCACTATGGGAACTCTTTTCCTCGACTTTTTCCTTGTTAGAAACACACAGAAAGACATAAAGGTCTGTTAAAAAAAATGGTGTTTATTTCCAAACTATACCTGCAGGCATCCCGTAAACCAATGTGTTTTACATAAGCTGTCCAACTTAGTGCAGACACGAACGCTGGAGTCCATGCTGGGAAGGGCATTCATTGGAGAGAAGAGCCTTCACTGCATCTATTCAAGCCATGAAATAAAGGATCTAAGCCCGCTGACGAGAAACACATTTTACCACCCTGTAGTTCTGCATGATTTTACTTCCCTTCTTTTTATTTTTATCTGTCGCCTCAATCAGTCTTGTCGTGCTTTATTTCTTTCAGAAAAAAATAAGGTCAAGCATGCTTCCCCTCTCTGTGCTTCTCTGCTGCAAGATTTACTTATTTAGGCAAACATCTGTTACTAGAGAACTAGAACCAGCAGGACAGAGCTCTGCAGATATCAGATGGTTTGCCCTGGCTGCGTCTCAGACACAGGTCATTGTGTCTGTTGGCCAGCTTCAATCCTGTTTCCTCTACCTGGGAGGATGCCTGTGGTGCTGGGAGTGCAGAGAACCAACAAGCTGTGGATGGTGTCAGAATGCCCTGACTGTTTTAAAAAGAAAAAAAAAATCCTCTGTTTATAGGAATCTGCAGCTACGATGTGGCAATGTGTTATTATAGGCTGACCCAGGTTTATAAAAAAATACTTGATATATAGTTCCACACAGGATATACACAAATATCTCTACCAGCCTTGCAGATTCAGGGATTTTACATTTTGCTTTTTTTACAGCCAGATTGGATGGAAAGTATCTGTGAACATCAGTGTTTGAGTTTAACCAATGATTTTCAGATGGATTCAGATCTGGACTTTGACTGGATTATTGGATTATAGTTCTGCTGGAAGTTGAACCATTTCAACCACAGGTTGTGTTTCACTCAAGAAATGTCAAAATTGAGGTAAGATCCTAATAAAATTCTCTATAGTTTATTGTTGGAATTTGACAAAATATCAAACAAATTCAGAGCTTTAAGTTATTTTCAAGGTGCTGTACCTGTTAAAAATGTCCAATGTCAGGTTTCTATCAGAGGCTTTGGCTCATAACACCTGTTTCATGCTGCACGGTGCAGAGAAACGTGAGATGACATATGTCAGATAAGATGGGAACTTGTACTGTTAATGAACTTCCTTTTTCCTCACACTCACTCTTTTCTTGATGGTCTGCTGAGTCAACATAGTAGTTTATCAAAAGAAACACTCAGTATAAGAACTCAGGAGGATTAATATAAAAAAAACTGAAAAAAGCAGAGCTGAACAATGAAGAAAAACAAACATGTGGGTGTTTACAGGCAGACCTATAGCCTCGCAGTCATTCAGTGGTTTCATAAATTCTCTTTTTGAATGCATGAGGAGGTTGGTCACCAAACCATAGGGGAAGAAATTTCAAACCAGAGTGAAGTGCAAATATGTCTCGGTCCTTTCAAAAGCCTGGTCGTACAAAGAGCACCTCTAAACTTCCACCTAGCAAACACAGAGCAACAGCTAATGAAACATAAACCCGGTTCTTCAAAAGAAGGCTGCAAATTCCACCATTTTAAACAAAGACATGCATTGAATGATTACAGTATACTTAACATATAGCACTGCAAAAAAATGGCTTTGGACTCACAGGTAAAAGACTGAATGGACCTTTCAGCTATGCTTGCTTTTCTGATAAAATCAGCCTTCATGAGTTTTATTTTAATGGCTCTTTTTTATTCCTATTAAAGAAAGCACACTGTGTAAATTTCACATAGTGTAAATAGAATCTTACCCAAACAAATATTAATGTTTAAGACTTTTCTTTGAAATGAAATTATTAGAATTATGGTGCATATGCTCATTTCACTTTATGTGACAAGCAAGTATTTGGGAACATGTTCATTTTGCCATAAAATAAAAAAAATATGATGATGACTACAAAAAAAAAAAAGAAAATATTGTTTAGAACTATAAATTTACAGTAATTTTTACTGTTTTTCAAGGCTGAACTTTTAAGTAGAATGAAATTTTCCAGAGAGCTGTTCCAAACGGAATTTCTTTTTGTTTTACACTGAAAAATAAATGACAAATAAAATCTGTCTAAGTCTAAAAATAAAATCTGTCTTAGTCTAAAAATAAAATCTGTCTTAGTCTACTGCAAGCAAAATTTGAAGAGCTCCAGCTGAGATCCCCAAGTCCCTCGATCAACCATTAAATGCTGCCTATAAATGGTTTATTTGGTGTTGATTAAAAGCTTGTTTCTGTTAAAAATTTCACATGTTGAGGGGTTTTTTCTGGGTCTTTATTTAAAACTGCTTGGTTTGGTCAAATGGGACTAAAACGAATATTTTAGCAAAAAACATAAATTAGTGATTTATATGTGGAAAGTCAAGCACAACAGAGGATCTGAGTTGTGATTACCCTGTTTTATTGCTCCTTTTGGCCCTTAGAAACTTGTTAGAGTACAAAGCATCATGCTTTCAATAAAACAACCTGGTTGTTATATCAATAAACAGAATTTATGAGTGAAATTAAACTTATTAGGTCTTTAAGTGGAACAATTATCCAAAACATTAAACTTTGGTGTCAGGGTTCTGCCTTCTGTGAAGGTTTGTTTTTAGTGTCTTTTGTTATTTTGTGACTTTGTAGTTGTTTTCTAGTTGTATTGTATTCTTGAGTTACTCTCTGTTGCCTCCTAATGCCCTTTTCCATTTCCTTTTGGCTCCCTTCTAGTTCGTTCTATTCACACCTGCTGCATATTAATCTCATTAGCTCCTTCCTTTGTTCTGTACACCACCTCTGCAGTTCCTCATTGCTGGTTTCTTGTTGTTTTGTTGTTACTCTGCTGCCATTGTGTGATTCTCCCTGGTATCTCCTGGTTTTGCTTTTCTGTATTTTTGATTTTTGCCCTCGTTGCCTTGGCCTCTTAATTAAATCATCAAAACTCATCTCTGCCTACTCAAGTCTATATTTGGGTCTTTAAAAACCTTCACCAAACCTTGACATTTGGTGATCCGAAAAAAAAAAATCAGCTGTCTTCTATGATCGTGTCAATATTGAGACCAACTTTTAGGAAAACCTACGCGATGAGCCCTGGAAGGATGAATTTCTCTGTGCAAAGAGGATAAGGGAAGCAATGATTCCTCATCAAGTATTCCTCAGTATTTTTAATTAGGTCCCGTTACTGTACAACAGCCTTTTACAATATATCTAGATAAGTTTGAAAAAGGCAGAGGTTCCTCACCATTTCTGTTTCTGACTCACAAGAAGTTACCAGACTATTGATAGAGTACACAAAGTTTTCAATAAAATGAAATAAAGACAAGTGCAATACTATTACAGACGGCACCAACAACAAAGATTGCTTTTGACCATGTTTTAGTGATGCTTTTCTCTTTAAACGTTTCAACATTAATGTTTAGTTTAATGTCAGTTGTGGATCTCATGACCCCATAATGGTTAAAGGAGGACCATCATGACCCAAACTTTGGGTATCAATGTACTAGACCTTATTCAGTAAAGGAAATCAGATGGGGTCTATCGTCTACTGTCAGTAGGGGAGAAATGGTAAACACATTCAACAGGTCAGAGTTCATCAGAGAGCAACTTACAAGACAGACATCCATGCAAGCAAAGACAGTCAGACTTCAGGCCAAACGAATATGGGGACACCTCGGCCAGGATGTATAACCAGATACTTGCTGTGAGGTGTTAAACCTAATGCTCAGATGAATACTTTATATTTCAGAGATTTCATTTAAGGTTGTGAGTTGGATTTAAGGTGTCTTGGTTTATTTACAATATTAAGAATGTAGGTATTTCTTGTGGTTTTAATATTTTCTCTGCGTTTAGTCGTTCTATATTAATTCTAAGTTTTATTGTGACCTCTGTTTACCCGCTGCACCTTCAGTGGCTTTTCTTTTACTGCAATTTGTGCTCCAGCTTCAGCCATAATTCATCTCCATGACTCTATAAAGATCCACATAACACTAACAGGAGTCCAATTGAGTTTATTGCTCAATGATGCCATAGTGGCCAATTTTATAAAGGTATTGGTTTGAAAATAGTAACAATAGTGTTTAAGCATAAACATTGACTGACCGTGTGGTTAAAGGTCTAAGAAACTTTAATTTCTATGATCGTGGACATTTTGTTTTTGCAGTTTTTTTGGAGAAAAGTGAACTACTAATTTTAGACGTTTATGTCAAACAGCATTATTCTTTAGGGTCAGGTTCTGTTTCAGAGCCACTCAAAACCATTCAGCTTTACCATCTGTCTCATCTTGTAATATAACTATTCTACTTGCAATGTTTAAAACAAGAATCACAGTTAGGTTAAGTTCCCAAAGTAAACGGCTTGCATTGTAACACTCAAACCAGACAACATAAGAGCCAAATTGCAGCATAGTCAGGATGCTATTTATATTCACTGTCGGTTAGTTTCCTGATGTTGTCTGAATGAGGTTGCAGCATAGAGGGGTTTTAACTGTTTGAGTCTAAAATTATGTCTACTTTTACATAACTTTCTAAGAGACCAGTTTGGACTTAGCTCTTAGTTTTTTCATTGCTCTGCTGCAAATACAGATTGATTCAAGAGTGCTTTGAAGAGAGAGACAAGTTTGCCTGCAAAACATCCTGTAGCTTCCCCCTATCTCTCTCATGCAGATGCATTACAATCACTTTCTGTTCAGTCCTACCTTTAAATAACTGAGAGCGCCAATCTCCACATGGTGTTCACTTCCCCACCTGTTTTTTTTTCATCCTGCTGGGTTTCCAGACTGCAACGTAAGTTTCCGATCAGATCTGAAATTTGCAGTGAGCTGCAGTGGAGCAACTCTGCTGCTGCTGGCAAACTGGAAGAGGATGGAAGTAGAGAGGAGGAGGAAGAGAGGGAGGGAGGGGAGGTTAGTGGGTGGACCTAATAAAGTGTCAGCGAGCAGTGACTGCATTTTACTGAAGGCCAAGTTTGCATATCAAGTGTGATAAATGTAAAAATTGTGCATATTAGAAGGGCTGAAGTGTCAGCATAGAGGAATAAAATGCATTAGTTAAAAAACTGACAAAATTAATATTTAGCATTTCATTTGAGACCTTATTGTACTCCACAAGTTTGGGGGTTTATGGGTTTTCCCTGTTTTAATTTTTTATGCTTTCATTCATGATGTTTAATATTGGTATCAAGGCATATGTTATCACCTATTACCGTACCTGTGCTCTGTTCACAGAATATTTTATTTCCTCATATTTTTGTTCCAACTGCATCTTTGTTAATTAGTCTTCTTTCTTCCTTCTAATCTCTTCCTCCATCCTATAGGGTCACAGGTTCTCATTGTTAATTTCTGGATTATTTACCACCTTTTTCCTGTAGCACATTCTTTGCCGAAGCTTCATGTCCATTTATCTCTGCCTTTTGCTATTTTCAGTCATTTTTTTAGTCATAATTCTGTCTGCACGTTCGTATAGAAAATAACCCACAGACATTAACAGAAATACTTTACACAAAAAGGAAAATATTTGCTAATTTGTAGTTTATTTCTTAAATGAAATTACATAATCTACAAATTAAAAGCATGTAGTAAAAATTCCTCGATTGGAAAGTACTCTCCCTAAAGGTGCCTTTAGAATTATTTGAAGGGAGGGAGAACAAATGTATCTGTCTTTTTGGACAATGTCTTTGGAACTTAGACTGAAAATCCCACAGAAATAGTAACACGCCTTTTAAATCTATGCAAAGAAAGTAATGCATGTAAACCTTTACCCTAAAGATTAGGGTTGGATGTTATGGCTTAAAAATCTAATCTCAGATTTTTTCCTAAGTAATCCAACTAATTGATCTTTTTTTCTCCCTTATATTTCATAATTAAAACAACAAATGATGCACATTACCTTCAGAAATTAGCTTTTATGTCAGTCATCCACTTTAGGAGGTGACCTTAATCTAAAGGGCAATGAAACTCAAGCTGTGAAAATGCTTGTTTCATAACAATCAATGAAACTATAAGAAACTAAATGGTGACAGCTGGTAGTTTTACACAGTCAGCTATTTTATTAGTTATAAGCACACATCTAAGAACTAAGAAGTGATGAATACATGTCAACCTAAGTTGTGGTCTAAGAAGTTCAGTGGGGGGAAAAAATCCAGATATTCCAAAATTCTAGCCTTATTAACAGGAAGTTTGATTCATCTATTTTGTGGATTAAGTTGGATTTCATAAGCATTGGCTAGCAGGAATTAACTTCACCATTAGTTCAGTTCTTGTTGAAACTTTCTCAACTCCAATTGAGACTTGCCAAATTTTGCATAGTTTAAATGTTTAACAATAGTACGCATTTTATCCACATTATTCTCTCTCGACAAAACCAACATATGCTGTTAAGTGAAAAGAAAAAAAGGGTGTAGGTTTGTTATCAAGGATAACATTTAAGGTGATGAGAATTAGGCCATTATGGGACGTTACATTTACAAACTAATATAGATGTTTAGAATTTAACTGAAAATTATTTGATTAAACTTTAAGTAAATTAGAATTTGATACTTTCCAAAATCATTTTTTCAGTGTACAAAATCTAAACATGTGTAGTCTTTAAAACAACACAAGATACTAGAGGAGTTCAGAACCATAAAAACATTTTAATCTGAAGTCATGGCAGGGGACAATGTGAAGAATCACATTCTCATGTTAGACTGAGGCCTTCAATAATAAACCACTGTGACTCTTCCCACACTGCTCTGACCGTGTGGTTGTGCTTCTGATCTAATCTAAATATGGGTATTGTTTGTCTGTTGTTCTTTTTTTCTTCCTCTTGTCCATTTATTTAGTGTGAAAACTCTCCTGGTATCCAAACTTAGGATCTTCTCTTGGAATGAAGTGAAGTCTTTAATCAATCACCAGACATATTCCCTGACCTCCACCCTGCTCTTTAAACATGATATCCCCAGTATTACAAAGGGGATCATTTATTTTCTTTCTTCTTTTTTTTTTTACAAAAACATTTTTTTCCAAACATGCTTTTAAAACGTGCAATGGTGTGCAGTTGTGCAAAGTGTTCATACCAATTTATTTATTTCCCATTTGCACTACAAACACAATATGTAGTTTATTTCTAAGAGAACATTTTGCTTTTATTTCACAAACAAAATTTGAAAAGAGTGACATGCATTCAGTAGTTTGTAGAATTACATTTTTTCAATTAGTTCTATGGGGTAGGATAACTGTAAAAAAAAAAAAAAAAAAAAACATTTGTAGTTGATTGAATTTGTAAGTCGGTAAATGTGAAGAAATTTTAGATTTGTATTTGCTTGAAGTCAATCCTGCATACATGTCACATTAGATCTATAAACAGTTAGAATACAAGTTTAAAAGTATAAATCATAATTTACATGTACACATCATAAATTTACAAAATGAATCAAATTTATGATCACGAATCATAAAGTGATTCGAATGAATCACAAATTTGGGAAAACAGATCACAAAACCATGAGTATGTATCAGAAGTAGGAATTGCAAATAAACAGGTATGGATCATATATTTATGATTACAAGTCAGAATTTTGCAGCTACAAATATTCAAGCCCTGATGAAGCTGTTACACTCCTGAGCACTCGGTGGCAGAGATACACCTAAGGTTCTCCACTGACCAGCATTAAACAAGAAGAAAGCAAATACAGATCCATAGATTGAACATTATATCTTTGCTAATGTGTTTTTTTTCTAATGCATGCACAATATAATGTTTAATCGATAGTTCTATTTTGTCCTCTTCTTCTACCGATCATTTGATGATGGTTGCTGAAAAACTTTTATGTCCATTACTAACAGCTGGTAAGGAGTAATACTGTAGCTTCATCAGGTGTAGATTTTTACTGAAACGGTGTAATTCATACTTTAATACTTTACTAAATTATAATTTATACTCTTAAATGTTTAATTTGTGGTTGCATTTTTTAAATTTTTAACGTCTATACCTGTAATCTCAGTGTTGAAACACTTGATGTCACGTATATGTAGGACCTGACAACAAAGAAAAAATACAAATCTTATTTTTTTTTTTCATCTTTATTTATTTTGACATTAACAAATTCTATCAACAATGCATACCTTTTTTTATTGACAGTTGTTTTATGTCATAGATGCAAATCTTTTTGGAAATATATGTGCAGGCTTTGCACAAGTAGAAAATGAAACTTCTGCTCATAGCATTGGGTCAATGTATAAGTCAAGTGTCTCTTTTGAGCCTTTTAATGCCTCTAATGTTTTTGGGTTTTTTTTCCATCTCTGACCAGCTTCCCCCTTAATCTCTCCTGAAACTCATCCTCACAACATGATGCTGCTTCCAGATATCATTTTTATTTCACTCTAAAATAAAGATTACTTGCATTTTGCTGATCTATAACATAGGATTCCAGGATGTAACATGACAACTTTAAAAACAAAAGTTCACTGGGGAATAGATACTTTTGCAAGATGCCGTTTTAGGCATAACATTCAAATTCATATTTGTGACTCAAAGATTTTCAGATGCATTATTTTCAGTTGTTCTGCGATAAATTTAAACCATACACCTCTAACGAACTGCACTAATGAACTGAACCATATATCACTTGCAAAAGGGCAGATGTTTGCCATCTACAAAACTTTAATCAGTCAGAAACTTATTTGAAACTGTATTCTCATTCAGGAAAAAAAAGAAAAACTCTTCACATCCTCAGGATTTCTAGGATTAGGTTTCATCCAGTCTGCAGTTTCTCTTATACTTGCTGAGGGAAGAGTTAATGCCAGCACCAGCTGTTGCAATCTGAGAAATAATCTTTTAAAAGTTCCAGCATTCCTCTGGATGAACCGGATCCCAAGGTTTTAAGCCAGCAAGGAGAAACTGATATCTGGTGACACGTGGAAAAGAAGAGCAAGTGGAGCCCGGATTGATTGAGAGTAGAGTAAAAATTTTAAAAAGGGAGCATGAAGGATAAAGGAGCAGATATTGTGGAGATGAGGAAGACAGCTCTATCTGAGAAGAAAAAGGAGAAGCAGATGTGATGACCGTGGGTGGGGGGGTTGATGAAGGCAGACATCTTTGATGGGAAAAGTCTGTGAGGATTTGCTCCTGTTGACAAGTATCAGATGGTTTCTGATGAGCATGGAGAGTAAAAAAAAAAACTATAAGAGAGAAAAGAAACAAATAACAGGAAGTCAGGCAGCATAATCTGTCTGTTAAAAACAAAGCTGACTCTGTGAAGGACTGTAAGGAAAACATTTTGGTCCATGTTGCTTGTTTAAGATATGCTTGCAATAAGATCCAGTGAGGATTAAAGGAAGGACCACCCTAACAAAACATATGGGGGCAGAGCAGACAGGGAAACAGGCTGAGAGGAGATCCTAGTTAAACAGGACGAGGAGTTTCAGCCAGGAGTTTCTTTGCAGGAAATTGCTTTCTCACAAATCAGATGTTCAGCCAGGAAACCCCAACTTCTTTATAAGCTATAAACCAGTTTAGAAATGTTCTGCATCTTCATATTGTTGCTGTGCTTTTAATACAGTAATTACTGTAAAGGATTAAAACAAACATAAAATAACAATGTTTTTTATCAGTCAGTCCATAATTGTCTTGCTATACTGTATTGAAATACATTTGAATTAAAACATGCATAACAAAGGCTTTTCAGGAATTTGAGATGATCATTCATCATTCATCATTCTACATAAGGAGAAAAAGGTTTTCTATCTGCTAAAGGAGGACAGACTGATGAAGTAGATCCATGTGTTTTTCTTTTTCACTCCTCTTCTGTGGTTTCAGAGCTGGCAGGAAGCTGGGTGCTGGACAATAGAGCATTGTTCAGTCACTTTACAGCTTTCTAGGACATAA